GACCATCCGTAGGTCTCCCTTGGAAAGCTCAGTCAGGTTGGCTGTAAGTTTGGGACATGGGAGCTGCACGAAATGTTTCGTTTGCTCACATGTAAAAGTACCCTGCCAATTGAGGCGGGCTCTATTTTTGAGCCATGTTGCAACAGTGCCCTTGACTCGTGAATAATCTATTGGTAGAAACGGTTCAGGTCCTTCCACTGCATCATTTCTTATGCATTATAGGTCAAACAGAAGCAACCAAAACATTAATTGATTATGGAGCCATTGTTAATGCCGAAGACAATGAGCAGAAGAGTCCGCTTCATTACGCTGCTGATAAAGGTCAGAAATAAAAAGAATCATTTTCAAAAAAATTCAATCTCATTTTTTCATGCATTTTAGGTCACATTGAAATAATAAAAACTCTTATTGAACATGGAGCCAATATAAATGCAGAAGAAAATAACAAACGTACACCTTCAACACTTCACTGGGCTTCTCGGAATGGTAATTTAATGCTCCGAATTAAAACGAACTATTTTCAATGAATGTTTATCTTTTCACTTTTCATCCCTTTTAGGTAATCTGGAAGCAATAAAATATCTGGTGGAACATGGAGCAAATTTGAGTGTGGATGAAACGCTAAATTATAAAACCCCACTTCACTGGGTTGCTGAGAATAGTAATTCAATGCACTGATTTAAAATCAATTATTTTCAATGAATGTTATCTTATTATTTTTCATGCTTTTTAGGTAATTTAGAAGCAGTCAAATATCTAGTAGAACATGGAGCCAATATAAATGCGTATGTAATTGGCCGTTACCAAGGGACTCCACTTCATAACGCTGCTTATTATGGTAATTCAATACAACGTTTAGAAACGCTATATGCTTTCAATATTCAACCAAGAACGAAGATGCCACCGAGGATATTCCATACTCAAACTAAACTGGAAATCAATGTTAAAACTGTTATTTACCTGCTTATCAGCAGAGATCTTACCGACCCGAACGTAGATCTCGGTAGATCGGAATTTTAATATTGTTCGGCATAAGGAAGTTTTTCGATTTATAGAAATTCTCGAAAGCTCACCGAATGCCCGGGCGATCGGGGAATCTCTGTTTTCAGTGAAAGAAAATTTCGGTTGCGCTCGGGTCGGGATCCAGGACCAGATTTTACGCACTGATGATACCTCTGATAACCGTTCGAGTAATCCAATTACTTTTCATTTCTTTTAGGTAATGCAGAAGTAGTCAAATATCTACTTAACCATGGAGCCAATGTACATGCAGAAGACAATGTGAAAAATACACCACTACAATACGCAGCAGAGACTGGTAATTGAATACTCTGAATTAAAAGGAATTAATTTCAATCAAGCATTCGGAATGGCATACATTTATGCGACGCATTGAATGATGCTTGTATCATTTTATGTGTTTCATTCAAAATGATTGTTTTCAATAAATTTATCTTGTTACTGTCCATGCTTTTTAGGTCATTTAGAAGCAATAAAATATCTAGTAGAACATGGAGCCAATGTAAATTCGGAAGGCGATTATGAAGAAACTTCACTTCATAGAGCTGCTTTGAATGGTAATTCAATTAGAGTATTAAAACGAATTACTTTCAATAAATGTTTATCTTTTCACTTTTCATTCCTTTTAGGTAATTTTGAAGCAGTCAAATATCTTGTCGGACATGGAGCAAATGTAAATGCTATTGATAGGCTGCATCTTACGCCGCTCTGGCAAGCCACTCAGAATGGGAATTGAATACTCTGAATTAAAATGTATTATTTTCAATGAAATCTTATTATTTTTTTATATTTATTATTTTCATGCTTTATAGGTAATGTGGATATGGTCAGATATTTAGTCAAACAGGGAGCCAATGTAAATTACCTAAACTACCGAAATGAGAAACCTAGTGATTTGGCTGTTGCACTTGGTAATTCTGAGTTTTTCGATTTCACTACATATATACTTCAGCGCGTTTTCATGTGAACGATACATTAAATCGTTCGTTTATTTGTTGATGTTTTTGTTTATTCGTTTGTAGAATATGAAATGTACATATTGAATCAAGGGGCGGAGATGAGTGAGACTCAAACATATGCTTCTTCTTCAAAACAATACGTATGTAAACAAGCATCACATGTACAGCAGAAGTCAATAAGTATTCATCACAGAAACAAAACTGAGTAGCGCACGCATGTATTTGTGTTTGCACTGCTGTTATGGCGTATACTTTTGATGTTTGTGAGTTAGTGTGTATGTATTGTTTTGAAGAAGAAGCACTTGTTTGAGTCTCACTCGTTTAGATGTAAATTACATAGGCATTTCCAGGCCATGTATTGAATTCAATTTTCCCAAAGCAACAATACAAATAAGTGTAATAACTCGTATGAGAGTAAGCGCACGATGGAATGAGCTGGAAGTCAAAATCCAAAGCCTGCGAATCCATGAATCAGCAAGGATCCATTGGATTTTGACTTTAAATCAACGCCAACTGCTCAGAAGAGCGAGAAAAATTGATTTGCAGTTTTTCTGGGTGACATTTGAAAGTCTATTTTAGTCACATGCATTACTTTTTCAAATTTTTGAGTTTTGAAAAATACAAATAAAGCACCGAAGTTTCAAGTAAAACACTTTGAATTTGACAGATGTGACAGTTAAAGTCGATATTTGGATCATTGTGAAATTCAAACCAAAATATTATAGATCAGTGAAATAACGTAATATTTTTAAATATGTTTGCCATTTTATTATGAAAAAATAAATAAAATTAAATATGCAGCAAAAATATATCGATCTAATATTTTCAACTTCGATATTTTGTATTGTTCACCTCAATGTAGAGAATACGTTCATGAGCTGTCAAAACTTAAAGTTGTTCAAGTTTCGCAGTCAAAATTAATGAAATATGTCGGGATTTGGGAGCCGAGAATTGGACGACGATATCTGACATTTGGAATTTTCGATGTTACGACGGAAAAATGAAAAATAATAATACATTTTTGGAAATTACTTTCTTTTGACAAGTGTGAAATGAAGCAAAATTAAATTCTGCATAGAATTGTGTATACAATGATATTTATAGATGAAAGCAAAAGTGTTAAATATTAAATTGAAGTTAAAAATTCAAACAAATAGTCCGACATTTGGGCAAGTGTCCATACTTGAAAAAAACTTAACTTGGCAACAGCAAAAAAAAAATCAAATATTCTTTTTTTTTTCAGGTCGTACAGAATTAGCCAAGATACTGAGGAAAGCCCCAAACTTTGGTAAATAAAAATCACTGAAAGCTTTACCCTCATTTTAAAAATCCCCACTATTTGATTCATTTCATTATTATTTCTATTCTCTTTTTAAGTTTCCGCGGCAGAAATAGCTTGCACAGCATATTCAAGCAATAATGTAAATATACGAATTTCCGGTGGTGTGTCAGTTAATGTCGTAGAGTTTCCTTGGATGGTAATGTTTCATTTTATGCATGAAGAAACTTACTCTTTTATCATTGGCACTTCTTTGTGTTGTTCTTTTCATTCAAAGGCTGGATTACTCTATCTCTCTTCAAACCGAAATGTGAACGTGAACCGATGTGGGGGCACCATCATATCCGAGCGTTATATTATGACTGCAGCCCACTGTGTACATGAATCCAAAAAACCGTCTCAAGTTCGAGTTGGAAAAGTGAGTAGATACTAAAGCGAGTTTACTCAGGAAAAAATTGACATTCGATTGGGTTTTCTTATGAACAGTTAAATGCGTGCATATTTCAAAATTCTTTGATTTTTCTTTTAAATAGCTAACTCTCAACAATGATGATGGATTGCAAGAAGAAATATACCTAATAGAGGTAAGATCACTTTAAAATCAAATTTTCTTCTTTTCGTCATCTTCTTAAATAAATTTTGTTATTGCACCCAGAAAATCATAAAGCATCCGGAATATAATCAACAAACGAAGCAAAATGACATTGCATTGATTCAAACTAAGACGAAAATTGAATTCAATGATAATGTAACAGCAGCATGCTTGCACACGATAGAGGAGGATGTTGATTCTGAATTGATCGTTATTGGTTGGGGTGCCACTATCAGTGGAGGTATAGGATAAAATTGTCATTATTAATGAATAACACAAAACGAATTTTGACCAATTATTTAATGAAAATATTTTTTTTAAATCTTTCCAAAGGAACCAATTCAAACAAGCTACTGAAGACGAATTTAACAACAGTACCATTGTCCGAATGTAATTCAACTATTTTGGAGTGGAATAAAGAATTAAATTTAATCGAGTTTCAAAATGGTATCAGCGAAGGTCAATATTGTGCAAATGATCCAGAAGGAAGAAGAGATTCTTGCCATGGAGATAGTGGAGGTCCTCTTCAGTATTTCCCCAACACCAATTCAAGCAGAGCGACCATAGTTGGCATTGTTTCATTTGGTGTGAATTGTGCAACCACATTGCCAAGCGTCTATACTCGTGTGGCTTATTACATTGATTGGATTGAATCCATCGTTTGGCCGCCAGAACAAAATAATTAATTATTATAAACTGACGTTAGATAGCTTTGAATTTTTAGAAACTGTTTTGAAATCGTCACAACACATATGTAAAGTAATACTCAATACTTTTGGTATACACTCATGTTAATCATGCAAAATTCACGAAATGATGACAGTTATATTTTATCAAAGTTTAAAATTTAAATATTGACAGTTGTTTGTTCTTTTGGCATTTCAAAACTATAGTAAACTTTCAGACATTTTTATATTTTCAGACTTTGACAAAAACTAAATGACTTTTGCTTCTATTTCCTTGAAAATTTCGTTTATAAATAAAATTGGAGTAAATCTTAAATGGATTTATTTATTTCGTTCTTCTTCTTGGTTATTTTATGTTTGGAACCAATCCAATCTTGTTTTATTAACAAAACAAAATGCACTGCAGCCTTTGGCCGTAGGGCTTAATGTGAAAGTGGGAATACGGTCGGAGAAACAGGCTCATTGGGATCACTCTCATATGTAACCGCACATCTACTCACATATAATACACAGATAAATCCATCTATCCGGGAATACAGATACATTTCTGACGAAGAAAGCTAAAACAATCATATTACTGCAACTTTTCATCGAAAAATTTCGATAATAAGTTTCACCTAGATTCAAAGTAATCAAATCAACACTAGAGTAAAATTAATTTATTCGTTCTTTTGTCCACCCAAAAAAGGAAGACAAATATTGAAATCCACTCACATCCACTCGTTATCCACTCAGAAAAGAGTGAGTGGAATCGAAATATTTTTAAAAGCGAACCTCAGAAAAGGGGATCGATGAATGAAAAAAATATGGGGAGCACTTATGGAGAAAATGAAAAAAAGGCTCGGAGGTTTTTCAAGCCCTATCGAATGCCGAAAACCCGAACTCTCTATCCTTTCTGGTTGTCAGTTTAGAGAGTGAACAATAGGGTGCATCTATTTTGGTTCATAGTAACAGCTTTTGTTCTGGCACTTTGGCCGACACCCTCCTCATTTTCACCCCGCTCGATTTAAAGTTCGGAATTTTTCGAATGAATTTTTTTCCAATAAATCTGTATGAAAGTGAAATGATTTTAATATATATTGTTGTAGATAGTATTAGAAGAGCTCTATAAAATGCTCACAAAAATGCACTGTTTAACGTTAGGCGCTGAAAAAACAATAGATTTCCAAACGATAAATTCGACCGAGAACAATTACTCCAAATGAAACAATGCCAAATGTGGTCTCTTATTCCACTCCAAAATAGTTGAATTACATGCGACCAATGGTACCAAAGTTTAGTTTATCTTGAGTAGCTTAAATAATTGGTTCCTTTTGAAAGATAATTAAATAATTGGCCAAAGATTCGTTTCACGGTTTGCCTATATTAAAGATAAGACAGTCTTAGTACAGCATTTTTTTGAAGAAATAATCCAATGTTTCTGATTTGAAACCAACTATAATTGTCGTAGCTTTTCGAATGTTACCACATGTTACGAAATGAAATGTGGCAGTACATGTTGTCAATTGATCCGAAAAACTAAGTGAAACATATGAATATAAGATTCATCTATTTTCGTCGACTCATAGTTATAAAAAAAGTGGCTTTCTTCTGCAATGCACACGAAACATATAACGAGAATCGTGATGATAAATAAACCTAATAACATAAAGCAATGCAAGTGATAATCTTTAGTAGGTGTTATTGTTACTATGTGATGCAATAGCTAGAAAATGCGTGTATTCTCACTTAATTGCAACGATCGTTCCGAACACTCGGCTTTTAACAACAATGAAAAATAAAGAGTCTTACGGGAGTAAGACGAACTTTTCCGCACGGTAGTAGTATTTTATTAAGCAAGTTCAAAATAATATTTGTTCGATTTTTCAAGCCTTTCAAGCGGCCTAAAGTTCGAGACCAAAAAATATGTTCAAACCTTGGCATAGAAATATTCTTTAATGTCATAGCAGAAATACTCGAGAAAAGATTTTTCACACTTTCATGATGAACCCATTTGTACGATATTTGAAAGTATTCTACTTTCTAACAAAGCACTATAAAAAATATGTTTGACGTTAATTTTGTCATAAAAATTATTTTTGAAACACTTTTCATAGCTAAAGTCACAGAAAATTTGGATCCTACCTTAATGGTGTGAAACTTTGCACAGGTTATTTTTTTCACAGAAAATTTTGTATGGGAGGTACCCCTAATTTTGATTGGAATCTCTTCAAACTTCCAGAATGTTATTTTTTTGTGTAAAAAATAGTCTGTGCAAAGTTTGACGTCATTAAGGTAGCATACAGGCAAAATGCATTTTTTTGTGATTTTTTCAAGGAAACTGTATCAAAAATTGATTGTATCTCAAAACTAACCTCGGATTTGGTTTTCTCGTGCCAAAAAACTCCCAATACATATTTTTGAGTGTTTAAGTCTACATCAAGCATGACTTTTGGACGAAAATCGGACTCTTTTTCATAGGTATCACTCCAGGCATGAAATTTTTTTCCATTAGCCAAAGTCGCTCAAAATCCAACGATTTCTATTCCTCTGGACCCCCAATCATCCTGTAAAGTCAGATTTTAAATAACTTTTTTGGGGGGAGAGTTATTGTGTTAACAAATTTTGCGTACGGCGGACAACGTACAACGTACAACGTGGAACAGACCCACAACAACCATGCTCAAAACGGCTTGATTCGGGTTCTCTGACCTCAGAAACGTCCAGAAAACATGTTTTTGAGATGTCGTAAATTTTGAACCATTGCAATACTTTCCCCTTACACACTAATTGTGTGCGGAAAAGTAAAAAGAAAAAAATCGTAAACAACAAAATATAATCACATTATTTGATATTTGGAAAAGAATTGGTCTTAACCGGGCAGAAGAATCAGCAAAGCCTACTTGTATGCACGGTATTGATGACATTACAACGGAAGAATAAATAATTACAAAACATGTTCAACGTAAACGATTTTATGTTCAGCACAATGTCCGTTTCATTCTTTTCTCATAACAATACAAAACAAAACAGTCAACATTTAACGAACGTTTCGCTTTCAAAACTCGCTCACGCAGCAATAAAACAATAAAACTATATATATAAATTCATAGGAGTTGCAAAGGAATAAAATGGCAACGCAAAAAAAAGATGAAACATTAACGGTGCTAACCAAAAATGTAATGCAGAAAGCCAACAACGCAGAATAAGACATGAGAATTTTCTTTTGTTTTGGCCCGTTAAACATTTTCTTATGCCATTTTTGCAATTGCACAAATGAAGCAAGTGAGAAAGAATGTTTTATTTTCGTTGGTATTTTTCCTATTTTGTTCGTAATTTCCTTATTCCGTTCAAAGAATAACGACGAATAATTAGAAGCGAAAAGAAATGATGCATTTATTAAACACAAAATATAAGACCAATCAAATGCATTTAATATTCCCATGGGTAGAAAAGTGTTAAACAAAGACGAAAGTTTTTTGTTGCACATTTTCTTTCTTTTTTTTTTTATCCGTTCAAATAAACCATCAATTGAATATCATTCAGTCATTGTCACAGAGGAAGCAAATCACATGACATATTGCCATCGAGTAAGCGCGAACCAATTTATCGCCGTAATTAACATGCACACATGACTTCGTGGTTTGTAACATACAAGAAAATACACATTTTTATGCATTTTGCATCTTTTCTCATTTTTGTTCGTTCTGCATTCAAGTTTAGATCCATATTATCAACTTTCATTAACGTTTAGTGTGTTTTGCATCCATAATTCATTAACATCGATACATTCAATACATTCTTAATTTTTGCTGTTTTTCTTCTTCAACCGATTATGTTAAATAAACTGGAATTCAACAAAACAACACCGTTTTGGCTATTCGAATATAGATGTCAGCACTTGTGCATTTCATCGCTTGGCGATTGTGAACGAGCACCGTTGAATCAGCAATTTGACTGATAGATTACTGTCATTTTCACTATCAACATTGTTTACGAGTCATAAAATATTGTTTTCTTTTTCTTCGTTTAAAGATACACTTTTTCCATCCATTTGATAACCGATTTATCACTCATTATGGATATATCGAGAGCAACGAATGATCGGAAACTATATCTTTGCAAGTGGTATTTTCGTGGTAAGTCACAGTGTAAATATAACAAGCAAACACTTTCTGATTGATCAATATTTTTAGTCGGATTTGCCTTTCTACCATTCATCTGGGCGGTGAACACCGTTTGGTTCTTTGACGAAGCATTCAGAAAGCCAGCATATGATGAACAGAAATCTATTCGAAAACGTAAGTAATATACGATATAAATTCAAATATCGATTTCGACGTAAATGTGAACGACATTTTAATGCAAAGTTCGATTTCGTTTCTATTTCAGACGTGATATTTTCTGCGATAGGCGCTCTATTGTGGGCAATCGGTCTAGCCGCTTGGATAACTATTTATCAAACGAATCGTGTTGCGTGGGGAGAATTTGCAGATAGCATTAGTTTCATAATACCACTCGGTACAGCGTAGTGAATTTTCATTTATTTTTTAATTATAAATACTATGTATATAAATTTTGACGCAGACAAACATTACACTAAACATCAGACAATACTACAGAATTTTATTAGATAAATGTAGTGAGTAATAATCTTACTCTGTTTTCTCAACATTGTGATGTCAAATGTTTGTGTGTGCGCGCATCAGGTCACATATTTCGAAAAAAATTGAATAAAAAACATTTTTTATACACACGCATAAAATGAAGTTCATTATATTCATATACCAAAACAAATTCGCCTTATTTTTCTGTCAAAGTTTATTTTTCAGTACTTGAGTATTTTTTGAGTTTGTATGAAACTCTCGGAGACTCGGTGCTCATAATAGCTTATTGAGATATCGATATTTTTCTATATGAAAATTGACATTTGCCTCTACAGATTCATTAAGGAGCGAAATAATGGACTAAAGTAAATTGAAATAAGGGGCCAATTTCAATTTTCCGCTTACCATTCGTAAAATTGATTTTAACTATATCAAAAACTTAAATATGTTTCAATGATTTTTGTTTCGTTTTTTTCAGTATTTTTTGTGATTGGTAAATCATTGTACACACATGTTAAAACATCCTCAGTGCATAAAGGTAAAAAAATATGCATTCGAAATTTAAAATCTGCTCGTTTATTCAGTAGATACAGGGGGAGGCAAAAGTTTTAAGCCTGACATATAGATGGCACTAGTTACATATTGTTCTTGTGCTGTAATTCACGTACAAACTGTCACTAGTATTTTAGAAAAAAAAAATGAGTTGATATCTGTCATCGTTTGTTTTCAACAGCATTGCATACGAAGTAACCTCGAGATTTTTTATAAAATGGATAAAATCGAATATCGTGCGGTGATTAAGCACAGCAATGAAATCCCTACTACCGTACTAGATGGTGTCGACACGAGTGGATGGATTTTTAAATTTATTTGAACGACGCGATGTTACTATACTTGTCCATTACAACGTACATGTAACAGAAGAAACACACAGTCCATGTCCACGCTAGTGGACGTAAACGATTTGAACCATCAATGTGAACTAGATCAAGTATAGAACTTTACATAGGATCATATACGATGAATATGGATTACACAGTCTGTTTCAAAATACCGTCACCAATGTCGACACCATTTGACATCAAAATTTTGACAGTAAAAATATGTGTTATTGTTGTTGTCGTTTCATTGCTGTGTGATTAAGTTTCTGACAAAAGAAGGTGTGGCACCAAAAGATATCGATGATCGCTTGCGTGCAGTTTATGGTGAACGTGCTCCATCGTATGCCACAGTAAAACTATGGGCAAAACAATTCAAGTGGGGCAGAGAGTCATTAGAAGACGATCCACGTTCTGGTCGACCAATTGAAGCAACTGCTCCAGATATGGTGGAAAAAATTGAATACCTTGTGCATGAAAATCCTCGAATGAGCAAGAAAGTGTTAGCAGAAATGTTTGACGTGTCAGAGAGAAGTATATTTAGAATCCTTCATGAAAAATTGCTCATGAGAAAGGTTTGCTCGCGATGGATTCCAAGAACTTTGAACAAGTCTCAAAAAGAAGAACGAGTTGCTGCTGCACATGAGTTTCTCGAGTTGTTGGAATGGAATGAAGGGGATACTTTTGATCGTATAGTGACTGGCGATGAAACATGGATCTACTACTATGATCAAATAGTATCTCAAATACTCAAATCACAGACAATGGAATGGCACAAACGTGGTGAACCAGCATCGAAAATGCCTCGCAAACAAATTGCCGCAAACAAAGTAATGGCCTCTGTGTTCTGGAATTCCAAAGGCATAATATTGGTTGAATTCCTCCCAAAGAACACCACAGTCACGGGCTATTATTATGCACAACAGATGCATGGATTGCTTAAAGCCATCAGAGAAAAATGCCCTAGTCTTCTCACTCGAAAAGTTCTTCTTTTGCATGACAATGCACCAGCTCACAAATCATTGCTTGCACAAGCTGCCATCAGGGAATGCGGCTTCGAACAACTTCACCATCCACCGTATTCTCCAGATCTGGCCCCCAACGACTATTTCCTGTTTCCAAACACAGTACAAGACCGAAGAAGAGATTTCAACCGATATTTTCAACGTATGGGAGGACAAGAGTGCCGAATGGTTTGAGGGGGGAATTAAAGCATTGAAGCATCGTTTTGAAAGTGTCATTCGTGTACATGGAGACCACTTTGAATAATAAATATACTCATTTAAAAATACAACGTGTCTTGCTATATCAGGCTTAAAACTTTTCTCTCCCCCTGTAAGTATGAAGACGAACTGGTTAGCGATATAAGAATCGCAATGAAGATATTGGTGCTCCATCTGCCCGTTATTTGTTCAACTTGGATCTCGCTGGTACAGAATTCGGTTAATAATAACTTAATTTAAATTTAAAAAGAGGTTTATCTATTTCAATCCATCTCTTTTTCAGGACTCTTCATGATATTACTGAATTCACTTTTGTGCAATATATTTGTGAAAAATTAAATACTTTATAGAATATGGACATTGTCCGTATGACAATAATAATGCAGAAAATAAAAACGCTCAAAATTTTCTCCCAAATCGGGATTTTTATAAAGTTTCATTTTATCGAAAAAATTAGAACGTAGAACATAGACTTTAAATCTAATATGAATGGAGAATAAAAACTCATGTTCACTAAAAAAATTTTTTTTTTTTCATAGTGAAGATATTTTTCAGTTCAAACCACACTGCAATTATGATCCATAAGAGGCTGTATAAAATGCAAAACTGTAGCACAGCTAGCGCCACTATAGATTACTATTGAGTTCTAGTCAGTTGTTTGCAAGTGAGCAAAGGTATTTTGTGGAAGTTTGGGCCTAGTTCTGGTACGGTTCAAATTTATTATCGAACCATTCTCTACGTTGAGGAGTGCGCCTGCGAGATTACACGATGTAGCGCATGGAAAGCGCGGTTTGCAATCAATATCGAGCTTGCAGCTGACGAATTCAATTTTTTCTGCAGTGGCATTTTTGGTTACAAAACACCAATCTGTGTACAAAGATTTGGATCGCGGGCCACAACGTCTCCAACATAGGTTTTGAAGGCATCCCTCGTTGTCCATTTCATTATCAATAAATCCAGTTTCAGTTTTCTTCGCAAGCGCATCCCTTATCGTGGCATCGGCGGCAGTTGTGGCCATACCTGCAGCAGTCATTACCGCAGTCCATCCAAGATATTTTCCAATTACAGGCCAAGCTACGGCAAGCGCACGACTTTTTCTCGATAAAACAATTGTCGAATTAAATGTGGGAATCTTACGCTGAGGAATTATCATCCCACTATTATTTTTTGCAATTGGTGTACTCATTGTATCGTGAATTTCATCTTTTGGACGCATCTCAGTTAATTTGAGTATATTTCTCAGCACCGTAAATGCGATGACAGGGTTGACGCTTCTTTCAATCCGATTTTTTGGTATGGCAGCGTTTTCTTCCGCATATGTAGATGCAGCGATAATTAGTCGAATGGTTAATAATCCAAACACGAATTTGAATAAATTCTTAGAGTACATTTTTCACTTCTGTTTTTTTTATTGAACTAAACTTTATGCAAATAATAGCAGAATCGAGTATAAGAAATTTATTCGGAAAAAAAAGAGGTAGTACAAAAATGTCAGAAATTGTTTACAAGCGAAGCGCAACTGAAATACTATACGATGTAAATTGAAAAATAATATTAGAAGCGATGAAAATACTTATGGGAAAAAGAAAGGTGGCACACAACATTTAAAAATAGTCTATATCTGCAATCGGATTGATGATTCATTCCCCTGTTTGAGCATTAACATTTCTGGTAGTCGATATTGCTCGATTTTCACCCGCTTTGAAGCAGAAGTCGATGCAGCTGCTGTTGTTTTCGTTTTTACTTTTGATACAGCTGTTGGTATTTTGGATTTTACTAGGAAACCGTAGTATAAGAGGGGATGCAATTTTTTTTTATTTTTATTTATTTCAATTTTCAAGTCCACTATAAAGCCGACTATGTCCGGATGGAATTCCAAATATATTCATTAAAAATTGTCTATTATCATTACTATATCTTATCCAATAACTAAATTACTAAAGGAATCATAGTCAAACAGTATACCACAGTTATGGAAAACATCATACGTTCGCAATCTTAGATAATTCAAAAGAAGTATTCGTATAGTTGTTTTTGTTCTATCGTCTGACATTCAATATTACGACGCACAATCTACTTGTTCATTGGAAGAAAATGATCTATATTTTTCACTCTTGATCTTTTGACATAGTTAAGAAAATACAAATCAGCGCTTTAATGTTCAATAGGTTTAATACAAATCGCGTCATCCAAAAAGTATTTTTCATTTTTTTCATATAAAAAAAATGATTTTGAATCTGGGTTTATTCCAAGCTTGTCGAAACTATTCATTCGAGATAAAATAAAATAAAAGAGAAGCGTAAATGCTGGGAATTCCTGAAACAAAGCTAAACCCAATTGAAATAATAGTGATAACCAATGAAAGTTTTCATAGTAGTCTTTGGTTCTTTTCTATTTTTTTTAGTAGTGGGTTACAATAATAATAATATTTAATAGAGAGGAGGTGGTAGAAATACAATCATTCTCGTTTTGGAGGAAATTTGGTGTACCTTATAGATTGAATGCATTTGAAGAAAGTGTCACCACAATTTTGGAAATGCTTTTAATTTTCGTACAATTTAAAAACTTCAAGTTTAATCTCACAAATAAACAAACGCATGATATTATTGTATATGAATTATGCATGATTGAATAGGTCAGATGGTTTAATGATAACCTTTTAGCAGCAAATAGGCATCGGTTTTGTATGTGTATGTTAGGTAAGTCAATGCCAAAGATAGCGAATAAAATACAATGGAAATTAAATGCAATTGGAAAAACACATTCTAAAGTAAAGAGTGTGATTGTGCGGAAATGACAAGATTTAACATTCAGTCATCAAAATATTCACTTCCATAGACACTCTACTCCCTTCTCTACCTGCCCGTATTTTTCTATAAATCAAAATCTTAAAATCGGGCACAGTGAAGTCGAACTGAACTGCCAGAAGAAATGAAGACAACGATGCGGCTTTACACTCGTCTGTCTATCGCTCTGATCTGCTTTACCGGCTTTGGAGGTGCGCGTAAGTAATCACAATGAGAATATTTGGATGTGTGTTGTTTTTGATCCGGAAGAGAGGGTGCGATCAGATCGTATGAATTAGGGAATCGGATGTGCTTTATATACATGCCCCGTGTATAGTACACTTTGTTTACCAGATCGATTTTTTCCATTGTTCACTGCATTGGTACTACGGTGATCTAGTAAGCGAACAAAAATGTCTTTTTTATTGTTATTCTTTCTTCTTTTGTCAGTTTTTGTCTTCGATATTTAAAATACGAAAAGTGAAATTTTCCTTCGATGAAATCATTTGTTTGTTTTCTTCATAAATTCAGAAAATCAGGTTGCACATTCACATCCAAGTCCCAGTGCTGTCGAACTACCTACGCCAGGTGTTTGTGGAAGTCAAATAGAACCTCGTATTTCTGGTCGAAAAATTAACACCCATCAAATAAAGAGTCTTACAGGAGTAAGACGAACTTTGCCGCACGGTGGTAGATGCGTATGTTATCAAGCTATATATATTCGGCATCGAAATATTCTTTAATTTAATAGCAGAAGTACTCGCAAAAGATTTTTCACACTATCATGATGAACTCATTTGTATGATATTTGATATTTTTCTATTTTCTAACAAAATACTATAAAAAATATGTCTGACGTTAATTTTGCCATAAACATTATTTTTGAAACACTTTTCATAACTAAAGTCACAAAAAATTTGGATTTTTGTATGGGAGCCATGTCTGTATGCTACCTTAATGACGTGAAACTTTGTACAGGTTTTTTTTTTACAAAAAATAACATTCGGAGGTTTTGGAGAAATTTCAACCAAAATTAAGAGTACCTCCCATACAAAATATTCGTGAATGAAAATTTTGTATGGGAGGTACCCCTAGTTTTAATTGAAATCTCTTCAAACTTTCAGAATGTAATTTTTTTGTGTAAAAAATAGTCTGTGCAAAGTTTCACGTCATTAAAGTAGCATACAGGCATGCGTCCCATACAAAAATTCAATTTTTCTGTGATTTTTCCAATGAAACTGTATGCAAAATTGATTGTATCTCAAAACTAACATCGGATTCGGTTTTCTTGTGCCAAAAAACTCCCCAATACATATTTTTGAGTGTTTAAGTCTACATAAAGTATGACTTTTGGACGAAAATTGGACTCTTTTTCATAGGTATCACTCCAGGCATGAAATTTTTTTCCATCAACCAAAGTCGCTCAAAATCCAATGATTTCTATTCCTCGGGACCCCCAATCATCCTGTAAAGTCAGATTTTGAATTAAGTTTCTACGATGAGCGCAATCCTGCTAACAAATTTTGCGTACGACGTACAACGTACGACATACAGATTAACAAAAACCATGTTTAAAAGCGCTAAATTCGTGTTATCTGACCTCAATAATGGGTAGAAAACATGTTTCAGAAGTTTTCAAAATTTTGACCGATTACAATACTTTTCACCTTACACTATGTGTGCGGAAAACTAAAATGTTTTTTCTGGGTGTTTTTTTGGGCCAGGGAACACGAATCTAGCGTTTTTTCGATTTCCGAATGTATGTGCGTACCCTGTACGCTGTACGCAAAAATTTGTTAACACGATAACTTTAAAACAAGAAAACTAATTCAAAATCTGACTTCACGGGATGATCGGCAAATTTTCACATGATTATGATATCATATATAGGCATGGCTCCGATACGAAAATTGCCATTTTTAGTAGTTTTTGTATGAAAATTGCGTCGTAAAACTAATGACAGATTCAGGTTTCTCGTGAATTCTTTGAGTAAAAGATATGTAATAAATGCATGTTGTGGATCACAGTGTGGAAAAGTTCATCAAAAGGATGTAAGACATTTTACTTTCACACAAAAATACCATTCCGAGAGTTTGAAAAGATTTCAAGTAGGGGTACCTCCCGAACAAAATTTCGGATTTTTCGCTCAAAAACAAAATTTTGTATGGAAAGTACTCTTAATATGCATTGTTTCTTCAAACTTTCAGAATGTTAACTTTTTGTGAAAAAAATAACCTCTGCAAATTTTCACATGATTACGATATCATATAGGCATGGCTCCGATATAAAAATTCCCATTTTTAGTAGTTTTTGTATGAAAAGTGCTTCGAAAATTATTTTTATCGTAAAACAAATGTCAGATTCAGTTTTCTAGTGAATTCTTTGAGTTAAAGATTTGTAATAAACACAGAGAGAAAATATCAGCCGACGCTATACGCAAAACCGACTGGTACGTGCGCTCATACGTTTTTACATCTTTTGCATCTATTACCATGCGATTTTTCGACTGTGCGAAGATACGCACAAAGAGTAACGAATCAGTCGAAAAATTAGATTAGATTAGATTTATTTCACCGCCGGTTTATTTTTATTTTTTAATATTGATTTGTTCTGATTAACTATTTGTTCAATCTCTTTTATACTTTGTTCATTTAAATTACTTAATGACGCTCTATCGATTGCACAGACAGCTAAAATATCTTTAATAATTTTTGGAATTTTATATTCGTAGAAGTTTTGATACTCACGCCAGAACCGTTCCATTGCAAATGGCACATTTCAATTTTGCTTTGTAATGCAAAAACTTACACACATGTAACAAACAACTACCATGACAGCTTAGAAGCTGTCATAATAATTCACCACTTCTTCATTCCCTGTTCTTGTCAAGTTCAACATTGTCGGTATTGCAGTTCAGAAAATCTCAAAATATCTCCCAAAAAATGTAAAGTTGTGTTAACATCTCTTGAATTTGTTGAAATCCCCCGAATTTGTTCATATTTATTCATATTTAAGAGCGCGGAATCCCCCTAGATATATTCTATAGAAAAAAGTACATTCTGCAATTTTGTAGAAATTTCAACGCAAATTAGTCATACATTTTGACTGATGTCTCAGAACGAGAACCAATGAGAAAAAGGCTTACTTTGTTCGTGAAATTACTGAAATGACTGAATGTTTATTTTGTCTACTTTTTGCATTTACTATGAAAACAAATACTGTTGATTGAAAAGGTTGACCTATCGTCCTTGAGCGTATCTTGAGTCAAGGCGCTATACTTCTTTACTTATTCACAACAAACAATAAATATTGAACAAACATGCGCGTGTACGACATAGAGCAAATCAACTTTATTTTTTTTTTGTCAAATAAAATGTAAATTGAATGCGTAAAGTTCAAACCGTTCAATTTATTTGGTTATTTTGAGTATACTCTATATACGTAGAGCTATAATTTCAATTGAATATAATACATGCAAATATAATTAAATGATGAAAATTTAACAATTGAGTAATTTTCAGTGATAAATTATTTTAGCTGTATGTTTGCATACAATTAAATTCAAATAGAGAAATAGTTGATCATCACATTCCGGAATGAAATTTTCCCATTGAATACCATAGAATGCTTTTCTTAATCGGTTGAAATAAGCGTAGAATGCTTGTTTTTTGCTCTATTGGTGTGAATATGTTTGCTATCTCAAATTTCTCAAATTGAGTTGTTCGTCGACCCAATTTCGAAACAATGCAACATTTGCATAGGCCCCTGGTGTTTTTTCACCACATCCAACACCCCATGACACAATACCTACCAAAGGGATCAGTAAAAATTCAATCATTTAGTTTTTACTGTAAAATTAGTGTAAAACTTACCTGCTTGCACATATCGACCTTGTGAATTTTTGGCAGGGCAGACCAATGGAGCCCCACCATCACCAGTACATGTATCACGACCGGGTACACCACCTAGTAAAGAAAACAAATCAAATTTAACATTGGTCTCTGTCATTTCATTTGCAAACTCGCTTACCCGCACAGATAAAACTCGGATGTAAGCTAAAATCGGTGCCAAGAGGTGATTCTCTTAATTTCTGAACGCATGTTTGCCTGGGCACAATCGGAAGTTCTACTTTCTTCAAAATCACTTGATATTTGCTTAAATCATCGAATTTATCTAAAAATGAATATGAATTGAGCTAGTAAATCTATTTAAAAAAAATTAAAATTTTATTATTTTCATACCCTTTCCCCAACCGGTGGCGAAACACAATGCGTTATCAAAAACATCACCCGGATTTGGCAAACACACAGTGTTTACATTTTCAGTAATTTCAAATGGTTGCGTTAGGAATAGCAGAGCAACATCATTATATATATCATCCTCATGATAAAAACCCGGATTAATTACAATATTGCTTACAGTTCTGTCTTGGTGCGGATATAGTTCGTATGTTGTCCTCGTATCCCTGGATATTGGAAGCAAAATACAAAAAATAAAGTGTCCTTTGCAAAAAATTGAATTTTCAATTCGTCGTCATGAACACTTACCACTCGCCGGCGCGCACTTTGAGCATTTGTGAACCTTTTTTTGCGATGCAATGAGCTGCAGTTAAAACCACTTGTTGATGAATTAATGAACCACCGCATAGGTATTCTTCGGTTGTTTGTGCTTCCAAGATTGCAACGGCCCAAGGAAATTCGCCTAAATTAATCATGGTAAATAATTCGTTAATGATTCGTTCTCACTTTCTGTGCCAATGCCAATTTAAATACTCACCAAATTTCGATTCGTTGTCAGTGTCATCGGTTGTTTTAAATCCTACACCATTTTCATTACGTTTACCACAGTCGACATCAATCTTTGGAGTAATTGTAACGTTTTGACTTGGACGCCTGATCTTGGACGGTGCACAACAAATTTGAAGATAACTAGCACATTCTTGCTCACCGACATCCACACGAATTTTAATTATATTTTTGTTATTCACACATTGATGAAATGGCACACATTCGCATTTCGGCTATTGACAACAATTTCAAATAATCGCAAGTGAAATGGATTGGTCGTTTGTATTAGTATTTACCTGAGTCGTTGGTGCAGGAGTTGGAGCCACACCAATGCAGCAAACATCTAATGGATTTTCACAAACTTGATTCATATCGGTAGAAGTGGCATTGCACATTTCATATGATACACATGTACACTTTGGTTGATTGTCGATGAGTGGAGTTGGAAATGTTGAATCTACGTTGTCAATTGGTTCTGGTGTAACGATCTTCAATAGAGAATAAAAACATCAATTAAAAATTGAATAGACCTCACTTCAAAAAATCTTTTATAACCTAGGTTAAGATCAAAAATCCAGCAATGCATTTAAAAAAAGGCGATTTATTCAATAATTGGCTAATAATCACATTCGAAATTCGAATCAAAGAATTATAAAATTAAAAACGCTTACCCAAGACTTGGGTGTGGTTGTTGTAGTTGTTGATGAACCAAATACGAACTCAAGCGCTTCAACGTAATCATCCGATGATAGGTCTTGTTGTGGCATTGCATTCACAGCAAAGATCACCATCAAAATAATTATCAAATTTCTCTTCATTTTAATGTGTTGTTATTGCAATTGGCTTATGGTTTAATTTTTTCGTAATTATACTTTTTCACACACTTCTACTATAGTAATTCTTGTACTAACAAATTATTACATTTGATTATAGCTTGGCACCTGCCTGATGATTACCTAAAGACATGGAAAAATGCGTTGCGTTGCACAAGTTAGTCAAATCAAATGCAAAATGAAATCAAAAGAAATGTCAGGGCCAGTTGAATTGATGTTAAAGTAAACAGCAACAAGTCGCCAGTGAAATAAAATCGCTGTGCTTGTAGTTATTATCAGCAGCATTTTCAATCGAATGAAAGAAAGAGAGACTTTGATTTTTCTTCCTTTTCATATTCAAATCATTCAACGCGTTGATAGCATTTTTGATATTGGTTATACATTGAAACTGGTTTCGAGCCCATTTCACCGTTTAGTTTTTATTGAATTTTGAACAAAACGGAACAATCAACACGTTTTGAAATCACACCCACACTGCATCATGATTCATGATGATCATCTACAAATTGTTAGTAAATTGAGATGCTTTAAAGGTATAAATGATCCACGTTTATCCTATGCACAGCGCAACACAGTATAACTCTATTTTCAAACGATTTGTTCAGAGAACAAAAACGAAGAGAAAATGCGGTTCGATTACAAAAACAAAATTATAATTTCTATTTCCTATGCATCCGAATGCATTCGACTCCAATCGTATACGATCGGCCACTAATTTTGTTTGTATTCGCAAGCCATTTTTTATTAAAAAAAAACGACATTGATCATGAAAAACAATTAAAATCGAACGTATTGGAACGCCAAGAAAATAAACATTACACATTGAAATTAAATCGTCCAATCATTACGTCCGCCGTTGATATCCGTGACAATGTGAAAAAGTTTACCTTTTTATTTTTTTAATGAAATTGAACAAAATTTCATTTGAAAAGCAAAAACTTCAATCAAAGATTTTAACTCTGCTACATACCCGACCGATTATAATTCACAGGCACTGTTTGAATTGGCATCCACACTTTATACACTCACGAAATATTTGGAAACATCGTTGGAAAAATGAAATTTGTTTATCAGAAAGCATAAATTTTATATAATAGTCTTGCCTCTTACAACTTGTCTCTTCTACAGCTGTCTACTGATTAATCATTTTATGTGCGACTGCGATTCCTCTATATCAGCAACGATCAGTAAAATTACATATATTTTGTAATAACGGAATATATTTTCACAAATTCATCATATTCGCCATCTCAACGTAAAAAAATGAATCTCTCATGCGTTTTAATTCACGTTTGAAAGTGTTTTGTTTCAACTCATTCATATTTCAACGTGAAGATGTCACACTTTCTCATTGTCGAAAAATTGCGATTGTGTTGTCTTAAATGGAAAACACATATAGAAAAATCCCAGTCGGTTAATGCAATATAAATTGTAAACAAATCAAATGAAGTGTCTATCGCTCAAAATAATCGGTAGATATTCCCTTATTCAATTCATTTGTATAAAAAATCAACAACAAACGAAAAGTTTATTATTATTACTGCAACTTGAAATTTGGAATACTCATCTGCAAAATGTTGAAATGTTGACCTTTTCTATGTTGAAATTTTCAAATTTCATTATAATTAAAAAAAAAAAATTAGTGATTTTGAAAGCAAAGTTAAAAAAAAAAAATTGATTGGAATTCCAAATTCTCTTTCAATGTAGATTTCATATTGGTTAGCTTAATTTCTATCAAATTATTCTTGTTCGAAACAATTTGTTCCAGATAATCATATCCCTTCATAGTCCATCATTTGTTTTATACAATTTCTTTGTTATAGCATCGTACGCATGTGTTCAATTCCTTATCTTAGTTTTAGGCGATTCTTTAAAATTGACAATTTAACAAATTGGTTAAGAGCTTTTTTTAAAACCAATGATATCACTGTATGTTGGTTCGTTGAACAATCCCCTATAGATATCGTTGTGAAGACTACGAGTATCGCACGTTGCTTAAATTTTGTATATTCTGGAGAAGTTCTTTTTGAATGTCGTCGAATTTGTTTTTATCAACGTCAATGTTGATGATCATAAATGAATTCCTCTGTTCCTTTTTAAAAAAATGTCTTTGTGAAATTTATTGTATATTGAATTGAGAATAGTCTATAGATCTTAATTTATTTCGGGTAGTCGCCGGCGAATAGGACAACACGGTCGCATTTTGTAAATTCAAAAATAAATCGCAATTTTCTTCCCGAAAACTACGAACATGATTATCATCAATTTTTTATACTTTTAGCTAAGTTCATTTGAATGATATGTATCATTTCCGCTCACCCAATTTAGGCTAAAAAAATCATAAAGTTCAATGATTTGATATAATGTGAAATAACGTTTAAGCGACGGAATTCAATGTAATCTATACTAAAATGCCGCCAACTAGTGAAAAGACTTTTGCTCAGTTACAAACAACTGACTAGAACTCCACAGTTGTCCGTTGTGGCGCTAGCTGTGCTACAGTTTTGGATTTTATACAGTCTCTTATGGAACATAATTGCAGTGCACGTTTAACCTTTGATATAATGTGAAATAACGCGAAATATTCCTAAAAGTTTCCTTTCAATTTGCGCATGATATTCTTATGGTCTTCCCGTTTCAATGATGCAATAGCACTTGATCATCACACACATGTCTTGTATGTTTTTTGATTCGTAGAAAAATTTGAAAATATCCGTAAATTGTTCAAGTTCAGCAAATTCCATGGGATTTTGGTCTTTCATGATACAAACGACAGTCCATGAAATTTTCCAATTTCTCTCATTGCCAAGCGAACATCTTCTTGCGGACGAAGATCTTCTAAAATGATAGCGTATTGCTCATTTTCATGATCGATTGTTGTGCCATAACACTTTGGATATGACAAAAATTGGTAGTAAAACTTGGTAAAACTTTAGTATACAAGTAAGCTTCACGTGCAAATAAATAATTCGAAATGAATTCTTCTTCGACGATTCTTGTTGGAGGGTGCCATCTTACACACCAAATGCAATTTCTTTTCACTATTCCGTTCAGCAATCGTTATGGATGTCAAAAATTCACCCATAAATCCATCACCAACTTGAGCGCCTTACTTCAAATGCACCGAATAATCAATAAAATCATTTTCATTAATATAATTCGGTAGAAGTGTTTCTTTCATTTTGATGTTATCACAAAGCGATTGCCGATATAACTATTTATAAATTTATAGATGCTCACCGTAATTTATAGGACATTTTAATCAGCTCATTTGACAAAGAACAGTTCTTTAAGAACTAAGCGGCCAAACTGTATACTTCATTCACGACTCCAGCCTGTTGTAAACATTGTTATTTTCGTTGTAGAATAGTGTTGAGTACTTGATGAATCTGTGTTCACACTCCGAATAGCAACAATTTACAACAAAATAACTACAGAAACAACAATACAAACAAACAACTTGATAATCATTAAGATAAAAATATGATAAAAACAACAATGTTAAATTATTGTAAAAGACAGCAAATTGTCAATAAATGAATTTGAATTTTAAATTTGAATCTGTATATATGATATCCACTCATCGGATCTGATAATCATAGATCTGAATACACCACAAATAGTGTCAGTGTAAATATCTTGTCGCTGAGTACAATTCATGGTAGTATCAGGTAATATTATTATAAACATAATTAAACATACATTAAAAGTCAAGTCATTTTTGTGGAAATCGAAAAATATTTCAAAGATTATCTAGGGCCAATATTTTTGTTTTGGTTAAAAAAAAGGGAATTTCGCCAGGATTTTCAGTTGATCATTTTCTCTGTTATTGATACACCCTAGTACCAACTACAGTTGAGTTCACAACATTCATAAAAATTGTCAGTATCAAAATAAATATGAATGATTTAGCATAAAAATGTAATACGTGATACATCACATTCATAATTCCTGATGCATCAAACGTTATAAGCGCTATGAGCTAAGAAGTCGTGATTTCGACATTTTTTGCGAACACTGTTATCAATTCATTCACAAGTTTATATATGTTACATCAAATAAATAGTGTGAATCATTGATGATAAGAAATTCAGTAATAATGAAATGACTTTAAAATCATTGGTGATTTCTACGTGTTCGAAATAGAAAAATAAATTTCTTTAGAATCTGAAATAAAAAAGAATACTTTATTTGATTGATTGAATGAATGTTTTGTTTTTAATATTTTAGTCTTTTTTTAACAATCATATGGGCCTAGTTGGTTTTTTTTTCAAGCCGAATGAGAAAGTCCAGATTTGAAAAAATCATTTATTGTGGCCACACGATGGATTCGATCCAATCAACGTAATAAGCCACACGAGTGTAGATGCTTGGTAATGGAATACCACAAAAATAACCCAATGAAACAATGCCAACTATGGTCGCTGTGCTTGAATTACTGTTCGCGAAATACTGAAGAGGACTTCCACTATCTCCATGGCAAGAATCTCTTCTTCCTTCTGGATCATATGCACAATATTGTCCATTGCTTATACCATTTCGAAAAATTACTAAATTTTCACTTTTGTTCCATTCAATCCAAGTTGAATTACATTCGCGTAATGGTACCGTTGTTAAGTTTGTTTTCAGCAATTTGTTTGAATTGGATTCTTTGCAAAGATGAGTAAATGTTTGCATTAAAAAATTATAAAGATTCGCATAACGTTTACTTATCAATAACGCAGAGCGTAAAATGAGGATTTGCCATAACTATAGAAAATTTTCTATTGGGATGTATATTCGAATGTCCGCACATGTGAAAGTCGAAACTGGGGACTAGGTTTAAATAATTGTACCAAAAATGTACTTAATTGTACCGCAATTTATTTTCTATTGACTACCGAATTTTTTAAGCATACCAACCGGCGCTCCGTTCTTGAAAAATTTATTATTTTACTTTACCCATACAAATTATTTTTAGGCACACATACTAAATGAATGTTAATTCAAGAAATCAAATTGAAAAATCATAACGGTATATTATATATTAGCTGATGACGCGCGCAGCTAAAAATTTTAAATTTATTTTGTCGTTAAATGATTATTTTTTTAAATTTTATTTAAAATTCTTGAGTACCGAAATGAAATCTTGACTTCCGATTAAATAAAACGTTTCTTGACTACCGGTTTTCTGCGAAAAAATTGCTTATTTTACGCTCTGCAATAACGAAATGTTTATTTTAACCTCCAAATGCGAGTGCACCCCAACCGGTCACAATGAGTTCAGAATCAACATCATTCGTATCCGTCTGCAAGTTTGCCGCTGCAATATCGGACGTAAAATTAATTTTTTCACGAGTTTGAATCAATGCAATATCATTTTTCCCCGTTGTAGTGTTATATTGTGGATGGCGTGTAATTGCCTGCAGACAGTAAGAATAAAATCATTTGAAGAAATATGGAAGACGATTTGCCTATCTGATGTACCTCGATTTTATAGATTTTTCCTTCCAAGCCATCGTCACCATTGAGCGTTAGCTTAAATGTTAGATTTGAATAATTGAAAAATCGCTTGAATACACATTCATTGACATTCAACGAATCGACAGAAACATCCCGTAAATGGTTGATTTTGTCTCCTAAAATTAAGCTAGATATAATTTCTACTTACTTTTCCCACTTGAACTATGGACGGTCTTTTGGATTCCTTAACACAATGTGCTGCGGTCATAATGAAATTCTCCGATATAATAGTGCCACCGCAAGTGAAAGTTACATTTCTATAGAATAGTGCTGCCTTCGAAAAAAAAAATATTTCATGCGAACAAAAATGTTTTGAAATTGAAATTTTAAAACCAATTACCATCCACGGGAACTCGTTTGGTTTTTCAACTGAACCATCGTCCGTAATTCGTGTTGGAATGCCAATGCAGAAAAGTTTAAGATAAAATGCAATTAAAATCTAGCATTTAATCCAGTTACATCATAATAATTAAGTACTTTTTTAAATAAGCAGAAAAAATTGTACGTGGGTCTACCACAAAGGATCAGAGACATTTATGTATATGTGATGGATGATCCTTGTAAGTTATTGAAATTAAATCATATAAAAAAGAGAAGAGAAATATAGAACAAAACTGAATGCTGTTTGCTTGAAATACATATTTTGTTGGCTTTCCTTTGAATTAGAATATGCATTAGCTATCTCAGACTAGTAGAAACTAATGATCAACCAATGTCATATAACATAAACCGAGATCACAACTTTAGAAATGTTATTGTTGTTATGTTCAAGTGACAGTGTAGAATATTGACTGTGAAAAGCATAGTTCTTAAGTTCGAAAGTGACAATTAAAGCTTTCAATTATTTTTAATTACCAAGAAATTTTGATGGCCGCGTATGATCTGAAAAACAAAAAGTTTTGCGTCAATTATTCGGTTAAGCAATTTGAAAGCATCTGTGCATCACTTTGACTTGCGACGCGTGTTGGGTTTGATTGGCATTGAGATATTTTACTTTAAAACAAACAATTTTACAATTACCTCCCTTAGCACCAAAAGGTGCACCGTTCACTTTGAGACATAAAAAAAATAAAACAAACAGAAACACAACTGCCATCGTCACAATGAAATTGAATTCACGCAGCTATATAATGTGTATTACACTTCGCAAATCAACACAATTGAATTGTTGAAAATGTTAATTACTGCAAATAATAAATCGTACAGTCTTCTTTTGAATGTATCTGTTTCTTATAAAATATACTAAGCTTGTGATTTTCAACTCTAATAAATCTTTTTGATTTAGGTTTTATTTCGAAATTGAATTGATAAGGGCAAATATGATGTGTATGCTTATTGAAAAAATGAACAATCTTCCATATGGCTAAAAAAATTAGATAACATCATCGTCAATCATAGATTCTGACGTGGGTCCATAGGGCCCATATTACCCCCCCCCCCCCCCTGAAAAACGTCTCAAAAATTACCCCCTTGATTTTTAAAAAATTACCAATTACCCCCTTGATTTTTGATCATATTTTTGCTTGATTAATTGCCAAATCAGCAACTTTCAAATCGAATCGAATGTTACATATATACTAGGGGGTAGACACGTGGAATAGGATTAGACTTTTTAGTGTAAAAATTCGAGAAATTCAAGTGGAATAGACAATTCAGTAGCTGGATTCACATGGATTCACTAATCCCGTGTATGGAATAGCGAAAATGGGTTAATTCAAAGTTTTTGTAATCGATAGTACAGAATTTGATAAAAGCATTGAACTTGTTTTGAGATAGTAATTTGTTCTTTTTTGAAATATATTTCAGTTCAAAAGTCGATTACAAATTTACAAAACAATATATACACTTTCTCAAAATTTTATTGATGAAAAAAATAATTTTAATTATCAATAACAAATTGTCATACTCCAGTATCGATAAATAAGTTTTCAACAAAGTGAATAGCGGCGAAATGTGACATCACATTTGACAATGAAATGACGGATTGGTGGAATAGTAGGATTAGTGTTTTTATATTGGAATCATGGTTTAATCGTTTGTGTCTCCCCCCTAGGTTACATATCAACTTTTTTGCATTGAATTATTCAATTTGAATATAAAAACTTAAGCTAAAGTGCTATTCCTCTGTTGTTTTTCAGAGATTGGATTTTTCGAAAAAATTTGAAATTACCCCCCCCAGATTTTACGAAAAATTTTGAAATTACCCCCCATATTTTTCGAATTTTTTTTTTGAAATTACCCCCTCCTAAAACTCTGGACGTCAGAATCTATGTCGTCAATCGGTCGGTATTTCTATGTTGAAATTTGAATTTCATTCTATTTTTATCAATTTGATTATAGTCACCATGGTGACCAACTCTATTTGTATTAACTGAAAAAGTCGCCACATTATCTGGAACGAGATAGACATAACTCGATGAGAATAAAAGAGAGAATAACAAAATAGCATCCATAAAATAAATTACTGATTTTTTGTTGTTCCCGATAAGGTCATTCCAAATAACGAGATCTTAGGTCATGACTAACAAATCCACATATTCATTTGAGGATTTTCGCACCAAATATAAAATTTTAGATTCTAAAAATATTGATGCTAATAAGTGATGCTTCAATAGATTAGTCAAGCGAAAATGCCCATTATCAAGATTAGATTAATTATAAATTCAAAGGAACTGGACCTACGATTTTCAACAATCAATTACTCTCCGAAAGTTATTTTATTTTCATTTGAACCATTTTTAATGGGAATCAAGTTTTCTACTATTCTTTGTTTCGTGGCCATTTCTATAGGAGCCATTCCAGGTAAGAATCAATACTCATTTTCTTTCTATTATTTGCAATTGAATTTATTTTTTCATTTTATCTATTTCAATTTCCAATAAACCAAATAAAAAAAATTAATTTGAGATTTCGATGATGTCGCTTTGAAAAAATAATTGGATGGATCAATAATTGTCAATCAATTATTAATTGATAATAAAATGAAATCTTTTTTTTTCTTTGAAAATTTTCGGTTTTATCACTTATCCGTAGAAATAAATTGAAATAAAATCTATAATAAAAAAATATGTCAAACTTACAAGAGTTTATATGTTATAAGAAATATGTGTGCTTGTTATCAACATTTAAGTGAACTCGGTATTCCTCGTAAACCGTGAACGTGATTAATTTATTGGAAGTAGTATTTTCTGCGTAGAGATGCAATACCATAGCTCTTGTTTATTGTCTTTTCTTTTAATTTTTGGTATTAAGGTTCTGTTGATGAGTATTACCCGAAACATGTGGAACATTTCAATTTCTACGAATTGAATTATTTCCATTTAAGAAAGAACGATCGATTGTTGGTGCCCTGTTCTAGTCTCTGTTCACAATAAATACATACTTTTGATTGCGTCGAAATTTTTAGCAGATATGAGATGTGTATTCTGTTTTCGAGTACATATAAATTGATGTGGCTTATCCTTGAATGTATTTGACACTCATGTTGATAATCGGTTACTCATAGCAAATATACAAGTTAAATTGCTATAGAATATTGATTTAAATTGAGTCATTCTTGGTTCTTTTACAGGTGGTGAAAGCAAACTTCAATCAAAGAACGTATAATTTTAGATTTTAAACCAGAAATTCAACTCAAATAGAGTGAATATTTGATAAAATGTGTACGAAAGCACTTTGAACATAACTTGAATATATAATGACAAACTTTAAAATCATTTTCGGTTTGTTTTTACCGCGCATAACTCAAACAAACCAATCAACAGATATGACATTTTTCCTTTTGGAAAATTCGTCCAGAAAATTATTTTCATTGGAAATGACGTTTTTCTGTATGTGAATCTGAAAACACTTACATTGTAACTCGAGTTCAAAACCAACGATTTTGATTAATATTTTTATTTTGTTTATACATCGATACATCAAGCATTATTTCCAAGTACTACCAATGGGTAGTGTATTTTAATGTAAATGAAATTGTTGCATTGTCGTTTTATTTCCAACGTGGTATGTTTGGCGCATGCTTTTTAAACTATTCTCACTTTTTTTTTATTAAATTGAAGAATTGCCGTTCACGGATGGTTATATCACATGCCTTTACAAAAGCTATTAGTCAAACTGAATACGCTATAAACTGCAAAATAGGCTATTGACCTGCAAACAATCGAACATCGGCGTCTTATGTGTGTAGTAATGGCCGATGGATTTTGAATGATTTTAATTCAAGCGTTCCAAAAACTTGTAATCGTAAGACATTTTTATTCCAAATTTCTACAGTATAGAGAAAAGCAATTCGATTGTTTCTTTGTTAATAATTGTCTGATTTGTTCAGCCTTTTCCCAAAATACGTTCAGTAAATAAATTTTATTTGAGCACCAAGGACATATGTCCAGCAAGAGTGAAAATGTGGGGAGATCCTCATATCGTAACACTTGATGGGTTGCGATATGATTTCATGAGCATAGATTCGTATCATGTATTCAAAGTGGATGATACCGTTGGAGAAGAGATTGCTCTCATTTCACATCATGCACCTTGCCTATGTACGTACCTTCTATTAGTGATTTTTCTAGAATGTATCATTCAGAACATCAACAGAATTTAAAAGTTTTTTTATTGCTCAAAAACAGATGGCAACATTCCCGTGTCATGTTTGGCCTACATCACACTAAATGTAAACCATTCCAATTAATCAACGTCAATTGATTTTCGCAACGATTCTATAGCTAGTATTGAAGTTGATGGTATCGATAGAACATCAGATCTTCCTATTCCCCTTTTAGATGGTTATCTTTTGCTTCGTAGAGAGGAATTCAACGCCGTGTCAGTTACATTTTTAGATGGTTTGGTAATGAAATGGAAATCCGTTGAATTGACAAATAATCAATTGAGCATGGATGTACCTGTCGCCTATGCTAGTCGAACAAGCGGCTTATATGGAACATATGATGGATACCCATCAAACGATTTGAAAACACCCGACGGTAAAATCGTAAGTGATGCTGTTGAATTCGGTCATTCATGGAGCGTTGCACCGTCGCCACCTTCATCATACGAAAAGCCAATCGACGATATGTGCGCATTATATCCAGAACGCAAGCCAGAGGCAGAAGAAATTTGCTCGTTTTTGAAGAGTGAAATATTCAGTAACTGTACCGTTAACGTTGAAGGATATTACGAGGCGTGCTTGTTTGAATTATGCGCAGTGGATAAAGAGGAGCAAATTGAAAACTCCAAGAAAACAGCTTACAGCATCTATGCAGATGAATGCCATGTATTTCTGCCCGAAAGTGAGTTTTGTTTTTTAGTATGATGATTTAATTATAAATCAAATTTCAATATTTGCAGATGAAAAATGTTCAACTGGGCAAGTGTATGAAGCATGCTCCAAATCGTATTACCGTAGTTGCGGTGATCTACTTTCATCATATGTACAGGAATCATGTGTCGCCGGTTGCCGATGTCCAGAAGGTCAAATTGTTGATTTAGACGAACAATGTATCTCAGTCGACGAGTGCAAAAGCAAAGCATGCTCTTACAAAAACGTAACATACCACCGCGGAAGTAAAGTTCAACAAGATTGCAATACATGTGAATGCCACAATGGACAAAGGAATTGCTCTAACAATCTATGCTCACCTAATGCATCACCACCGGATATTCAAGTGAACGGATATTCAAGTATTGTGATTATCTTTTTTGTTTTACATATTCAATTTATTTCAATGCGACTTTATAATTGAATTTTTTTACAAAATACATAATAAAAATCTATTTGCTTCATTTTAAAGGAACAACCGCTTTTTCCATAAGCTACCAAGACACATAAAATATATCTTTCTTCTTGTGCAAAAATAAATGAACTTCGATCTAAATCAGCTTAATTCTAAGCATTTTCTTGAGTCAAATCACCATAATATTCATAATGGACTTCATCTCAGAACTTTTAAACATAGTTTTTCTAATTCGTCGCGGTATTGATCTGCTTCTTTTCGCAATACTAATATTTCGTCAACTTTATTCGCCGCCATGTTTTCTTTCTACAAAGATAAATAAATTGATTTGATTAAAATATTTTTCTTCTATTATTTTTTGCTTTTGTAAATTGTTTCAAATAAGAACGTAATGAATTTTTGTTCTATCAAACGAAGAAAATTTATTGGACGCAAAAAACGGTTATAATCTTTCATTAAATTTATTATTTTTTATTTAATGTTTTGGGATTGATGATATAAAATTTTGTTCAAGTGAGTCTCTTACTAAAAAATGTGTGGATGCGTTTGCCCATTAAATATGAAAATGATAAAATAATCTTTGCGTTGTTTTTACAGTTATCAAATGCCATATTAGAGGCATATGCCAGCTTGGGTAATTTTGAATATTACAAAAAAAAGTGAAACATTTTGGTTGGGTTTTTACAGACTTTGAGTAAAATGACGTTTGTTTACAAAGAATATCAAGAATAATACTATGCACAACCTTTCCCAAACAATTTTAAATACAAATTATCTGGTTTGCTGGGTTTGGAAGGACACAGAATAATGAAACCCATCTTACCATGCGAATTTCGGCCTACTGGATGATGTTATTCAAACTACCAACCCCCATGTCGTAGCGATCTAGAGTGGACATAATGTCAACAAAAAATGCGTGTTGTTTTCGTTTCATTACTCTGGAAGTACCAACTATATTGTGACAATTGAACTAAAGTCATGACTGTCATGAAATCGAACAATAAAAAACAATTTATCAACGATCGCCAGAGCCTCAAACTAGAACAAGAGCAATTTAAATTTGAATAATAACCTTCAGGCAGTCATAGATTCACGCCGTGTGGAAACACGATAGATAGGCCAGTGATTATAAAAATAAACCATAAAATGACATTCAGAGAAAATATAGAGACAAGAAAAATGACTCATGGTGGAATATCAAAACATTGTCATCGAAATGATAACAGAAGGAAAGCGAGAACATTGTATATAAGAAAGTAAAATAAAATGAGTAAAAATACAAACAAATTTACGGACGAATAAGAATAAATAAATACAAATAATAATATAATCATCGTAGTATTATTTCGTTGCATGACGTGACGTCGATACGAAAGCTCCAGCATCAACAACATTGACACTAAACACTGGGCACATTGTGATATTATTACATTTATTTGGGAATTCCGTTCCTTTATCTCTTGGCATTTTTCTGTTGAATAAAGTCAAAAAATGAGTTTTCGTGTATAGTGATTGACGTGAGGTCGAACTGAATGCATCAATCGAAACCAATTTTAAACTGTACAAAGATGCAATATTACATTCAACTTTTTTCTCTATTGGCTTGCTTCATTCGCCTGGGTGGTGCACGTAAGACTTTTTTTTGTGAATAATATATATAAACTAATTTTTGATGAAAATCAAAATTTTTCATTCAAATTGTTGCTTTTGGTGTTATATTTATTGAATTTCATTTTCAAAAACATGTAAAATCTGGACTACAATAATATTTTGTTCAAATTTTAAAACAATAGTGACTGTAAAATTATCATGAAAATTATTCTTTTACGTCCAAATCGAACTGAAAAATCTTTTACTTTAAATACAGTGAATCTAATTTTTTTGGATCTTTTGTGTGGGAACCATATTTATTTTTCATTCGATCATCTTTAAATTTTGAGAAAGTTATTTTCTACCGAAAAAAATAAGCCGTAACAAAATTGAAGTGATTCTGTTAACAAAAAAAAAATTATTAAAAAAATTCACAAAATAGTGTGTCCCGGGCTAGGAGAGAGAAGCCAATGCTAGTTTTTATAGTTTATAGCTAATTTACTAGTTTATTGCTTGAATAATCTAATAATGCTAATATTCCTTTATGAAATTGCTAGTTTTCTAGTTTTTTGTTCTGTCAAATGACAATCAAACGATTGTACTGACACAATGAAGTATTTTGACGTTTTGTTGCAGACAATATATTGGGCTGAATATTCATTTGAAATGGAAAGAAATAGCACGCTATTTTTGATAAAATAATAGAAGTGATTGTTATAATTATTTTACCAACGTAAGTGTTTTCTAACCAAAACAATCACTTCTATTGTTTTTTCAAAAATAGCGTGCTATTTCGTTTCATTTCAAATGAACATTCAGCTTAATAATTGTCTGTTTTGTTGTTCAAACATATTTTTATGTATTTTGAATAATTAATACATTTTGAATACACTTATAATAGTAAAAATTAGTTTGATTATTCTTTTTTTTAACACAACATTGTGCATAAAAACCAAATCATGGCACAATATCAAAATGGCGGATCAAATAATTTTTGCTAGTTTTTTTCTAATTTTCCTAGTTTTTACTTGAAATATAAAAAAACGACTTATATTTAAATCAGTTATGTGCGAAGGGGGGTAGGGGGGTTTACCCCCCCCCCCCTGTGATTTGGATGAGAAAATTTTTTTCGCGAAAATTATTCGAATTTGCTAGGGTTTTTCACGAAAAAAGTGAAGACCTCTTTTTTTTTTAGCTCTTCACTTTGTTTGGCTGAGAAAATTCTTCCGATTTGCTAGGGATTTTCGCCTCAAAAAGTGACTTCCAAAAAAAAAAAACGATTTTATTGTAATTTCCTGAGGTTTTGCGCGGAGAAAATTCTTTCGATTCGCTAGTGATTTTCGCCAAAAAAGTGAAGAGCAAAAAAAAAAACCAAATTTGTTGTTCAGATGAGAGAATTTTTAGTTTTTGAAAAATCACCCCCCCCCTGTAAAATGTAGCTCGCACATTACTGATTTAAATGCTCAGTTTCCGTCCCCTAGGTCCCCTAGGTGTAAACTTCAAATATTTGTATCCATTTAGTTTTGAAGATATAAATTCTCGATCAGTTTGGAAATATTTTCCTCGGGAAAAAGTTCATGTTTTAGCGAGATAATGATGTTTGTCAAAAAATAATGTACACATTTAAAATCGTTATCAATTTCATTAATTTCAGAATATCCGTGTACCACACCAGATTACACATACGGTTATTGTACTGATGCAAGGCAGTGTTCCTATCTTTATAATTTTTGGCTCTCGAATCAATACTATCTACTTTATTACACTTATTGTGGCCAGACCTTTGGATATGGATCGGTAATTTTGATAAAATTTCTTCGTATTCCAGATAATTATATGTCAACCAATTATTCTCAATAGGTTTGCTGTCCCTACCAGGCTATAAATACAGGACCGTCTACGATAACAACTCCACCACCCAGGCCAATAACAACTCCACCACCCATTTCAACAACAACTCCTGTAGTTCCAAATGTTGGCCTTCTACCGCAACCAGGAACTTGTGGAGTTAACATAAAAAGTTATAAATTAAACAAGAATTTTTGTGAAGACAATTAAAAAATGTTCCTTTTCTATTTAGATCGTATAATATATGGTAAAGAAACGGAAATAACGGAATTCCCCTGGATGGCTTTAATTGAATACACAAATCGTATGATTTTGACCATAATTCAAATAATTTCTTTAGAATTTAAGGATAATTTTCTTGTTTTAATTTTCCCACAGTGGATAAAACCAAATCTCTGGCTTGTGGTGGTGTCCTCATTGATAAGAACTTTGTTTTAACGGGTATATGATAAATAACATAATTTTGATTATTCCCAAAATTATCAAATCATTTTCTCTTCGAAATTCAAAGCGTCGCATTGTGTGAACCGCAGAGCATTAACAACACAAGGCAGGAAACTTTCAGGTTTGAAATAATATAATTGAAAACAATTATGTTTATACAACTGATGTATTGTTTTTGTTATCGATTTTTCGTCGGCTTGGGATTCAGGCGTTCGGCTTGGCGATTGGGATACAACATCTGACCCAGACTGCGTTGAAAGAGAAAAGCAAAATTGTGCAGATCCATTTAAGCATATCCTCGTATCAGAAATCATTATACATGAGGCATATAATCCCGATTCGAATCTTAATGATATTGCTCTATTACGTTTGGAACATCCAGTGAATTATACATATTGGATCCAGCCCATATGTTTGCCATTGTCGAGCGAGGTAGTCGATGCAATCGGTGAAGGGGTACAATTGGAGGTTGCAGGTACTTACATTCTCTGGCATCTTTAGTTAATCTCATTAGAAATCATCAAAATTTAATTTCTTCGTTTTCTATTCAGGCTGGGGCACCACAGAGGTATTTTTAAACATTCTTTGGGATCTAAATCGCAAACCTGCAAAATCTAATTGTTCTTTATTTTTCTGTTTTCATTTCAGGATGGTATTTTTCAGTATTTGAAGCTATGCATTCCATTATATATTTTTTATTTTCATTGATTTCATCTCAATTTTAATACGTTGATCTTGAACGTTTGCCATTTTTATAGGAAGTCCTAGTGATGTTAAAAAGAAGGCTATGCTCTCAGTTGTTACACATACTCGATGTAATAATGAATATCGTAATAATGGTTTTACTATGACAAATGGGCATCTATGTGCTCAAGGTGATGACAGACAGGATTCGTGTCGAGGTATGTTATTGCATAAAACTTAATAGAAACACCAAACTTTAATTTGGAGCGGGCTTATGTGACCGTTGATTGTAGTTTATTTATTTCAAATAAATAATTGTTGCCGACGTTTCGACTCAATGCAAAGCAAGACGACAATGACAGCTAGGCAACGCAGCAACTTCATTATGGTTGTCACTATTTATGTTGGGTGGCACAAATTTGTACCATTTTTGATTTGGGCGATCGAAATTTGTGCCATTTTTAGTTTCGCTGGCAACCGCACCATGGCGCTACTGTCAACGTTACTTGTCATCGTCGCGCTTTGACTCAACGAGAGTCATAATCATGGCTGTACATTGAAAAACATAAATGAAAGATCTGGTAAGAAATGAAATAACAAGATCTTTCATTTATGTTTTTCAATGTACAGCCATGATTATCACTCTCATTGAGTCGAAACGTCGGCAACAATTATTTATTTGAAATAAATAACCTACAATCAACGGTCACATAAAGCCCGCTCCAAATTAAAGTTTGGTGTTTCTTTTCATATTAACAAGACCGTAACACTTCATAAGACTTAATTTTGTGTCTTAAATTTTCGAAAACAGGCGATTCCGGCGGACCACTTATGTATCAGCATAAAAATGGATTAAACGTTCATTATTACTTGGCGGGTATTGTTTCATTTGGTGGAAGAGAGTGCGGACAACCTGGTGTCCCATCAGTATATACAGTACGTTCGAGAATCGATGCATTTTTTACAATTTCCAAAATTGACATTTAATTTTTGTTCATTACAGAGAGTTGACCAGTACATTAATTGGATATTGGCTAAGCTAGCCAGGCTAACATGAAACCATCGACATCAAATAATCACACCATGACGATCGAATCGGGCCACCTCAAACATTTCAAATCAAAATTAAATATTTTTTTGCAAATATGTAAAAAAATTTTATGCTTGATTTGGATTTTTTTTGTTTGTCACAATATAAATTACAATAAATATAGGTTTCGATGTTTGGACCGATTTTTCTAAATTACACGTTTCAATGTAGTTTTATGATCATATCTATTCAATTTTTGGCCAAATTCTATCGATGAACAATAAAAATACATAAAAAAAATTGTGAATCTTATCAATCTTATTTTCTTACCGAAATACTGAAAAATTTGTATGGGAGTTAACTAAGTGGCAAAAATTTCACGTCATTACGGGTATGCCTCCTCCCAAATCTCTTTTTGTAGTATTTTTGGTTGTTTCTAATTTATATTTGCAAACGTCATCTGCTTGGATGATTGTTTTAGCAAAATATTTTTCCGATTTTTGTACTTTTTGGTCCGGTTTTAGTTTTAGTGTATAATTTGGTGTTTTTGTCTGAAATTTATTCTAATTGGTGTAAAAAAAGAATATCTCAGCTATGACTCTAGGTGTTTGATTGTATATAGGATAGGATTGACTAAAATGGGTTCTATATAAATCGTATCGACCTACTACGTACGCATATAGATGTCCAATTAACATCGAAATATTATCATATCTTATTACTAAATACGAAAAATCCTTTATTAACTATTAACAACCAATCATGCTACGCATAATAAAATGAGTAGTAGTATTAAGATCGATGTTAATAGCGAGTAGTAGTATGTTTATTATCTATTAAGATGCCGAAGTTAATACGCGCCATTGGTAATTTTGCACAGCAAAATACAAGTGTGAGTTGTGTGTTAGTGGAATGTCCATTGTAAACAAGTGTGAATGCAAGGGTGAGCGAGACAGCATGAAAAAAAGATTTGCCAAGCACGATTGGGCAAGAGATGACAAATTTTTACGTTCTGTTCACAACACATGATATAGACGACTTAGCTGTGTTCGAGAATTGAGAAAAAAATGTTTTTTTTTTTTTCACTTTTTGTGCTCTATACCGAGTCTCCGAGGGTTTCATATAAAGTTGCCATGTACGTAGGCGACTATTTAAGTTTCTTCAATATGTATGTTTTAGTATTGCCCGATGCAAACCATTGTCATATTCGTTAAGTTTAACATTTTGTAGCATAAACGTTCTCAGAACGTTTTGTCATTCGATCGTTATTTGTATTGTTTACCGTAACATGTAAATTGCGTCTCAGCCAAAAAATGAATTTTACTCGTGAAAATTTTCGAGCGATTATTTTTTTCCACTTTCGATTGGGTGTATCACAACAACAGTGTTTTGATCAACTTCATTTGGCCTTTGGCGATGAAGTACCAAGTCTTCGGACAATCTATAATTGGTACAACGAATTCAAGCGCAGTCGCCTATCGCTCATCGACGAGTTCCGCGAAGGTCGTCCAAAATCAGTTGTTTTACCAGAAAACATCGATGCTGTCAGAAATATGATAATGGAAGATCGTCATGTAACATATCACGAGATTGAGGCATCCCTGGGCATTAGTGCGACCAGCGTATTTAAGATTTTACATGAACATTTAGCTGTCAGAAAGATTTGCTCTCGTTGGATACCACATATTTGACAATCGCTCAAAAAAAGGCTCGTGTCGATTGGTGTAAACAAATGCTCAAGAAATTCAATCGTGGTGTTTCAAAATCCGTGTATTTTATCGTCACTGGTGACGAATCATGGATCTACGCGTATGAGCCCGAAACTAAACAGCAGTCGACTGTATGGGTCTTTCAAAGTGAAGATAACCCAACAAAAGTTGTTCGAGCTCGAAGTGTTGCGAAGCAAATGGTCGCCTGTTTTTTCGCGATAAGTGGTCATGTGGCAACAGTTTCACTAGAGGCTCGTAAGACCGTCAATTCTGATTGGTACACCACCTTTTGTTTGCCCGAAGTGTTTGATGAAATAAGAAAAAACAACCGCCGTCGCAAAATAATTCTTCATCATGATAATGCGAGCTCTCACACATCTCATCAAACAGTCGATTATTTGACCGGTCAAAAGATCGATTTAATGGGTCATCCGCCGTACAGTCCTGATTTGGCACCCAACGATTTCTTTTTATTCCCGAGCGTGAAGAATAAACTGCGTGGTCAACGATTTTCATCGCCCGAAGAAGCAGTTGATGCGTTCAAAACACACGTTTTGGAGATATCATTTTCGGAGTGGCATGAATGCTATGACAAATGGTTCGAGCGAATGCAAAAGTGTATTGATCATCATGGCGAATATTTTGAAAAAAAATAAAACCATTTACTCATAGCGCCAAATATACAAGTTAAATAAACAGTTTGTGTTTTCCACGCATAACTCAAACAAACCAAATATTTTTCTTTTTGGAAAAATCGCCTGGAAAAATTCAAGAGGCTTATGACTGACTCGAGTCAGTGCTGACTTGTGAAAATTTCAAACAAACCGCTAGAACGAGTCAATCATTAATGTCAATTTCAAATATCATCAACGTTTAATCGAAGACATATAATTTTTCTAGCATCCAAAGGAATCATATTAATTCTCTTAAAAATGTCCACTGTGTCAAAGCAATTATTATTCAAATTTCTTTCTATTTGATAATTAAAAAAATGCGAACGAATTATTAGCTGATTTATAGAACTTACGCACTGTGCTAGGTTTTGGGATCGGCAAATTAGAAGCAAATGTCTTATAAAAATACTTTTCACTCATTATATACAAAAAGATAAAAATGTTATCATAACAAATGATTGGATGTCTTCACTCTTCCGGCATTAGCACTTAAATTGACATGCGATTGGGCGGTTTCCATGAAGCATTTTAATAAATACGGAAATTGTGACAAATTCATATTCTGTTCGATGTTTGATTCACGGTTTTTTTTACTTCATTCATATAATTTGGCATGTTATGTATACACTCCGCAAAAAAAAGGATAGACGCAATAACATTTTTCCAAAAATCTTATTCAAAAAGCATAGATTTCTTTGTGATTTTTTTGTCAATTTATTAAGCAACTATTTATGCACACATCACAAAAAGATGTATCAAAAATAATTTTAAGAATTTTATTTTTTTCAAGTTTTTCAAAATTTTGTACTCAAAAAGTGTATATTGGAATCATGGTTTAATCGTTTGCGTCTCCCCCCTAGGTGGGAAAAAGGTATGAATCAGTGATATACTATGGTAAAATGGGGCCGCCGAATTCGCAGTGGTCACTACGCCCCCCATGGCCAAGAGTTAAAATTACATCTTTATAACAAATAAATGAATAAACAATTAGCTACGTCTTACTGTAATAGCCAAAAGTTATCCCTTCAAACCGCAAAAAACACTTATAAATAGTTAATATTTTCAAATTGCACGCGGATACGATGAGTCGGAAACTAATAAATAAATATAATTTTAAATACTATATATATATAAAAAATAAATCACAATGTATCACATTTGCTCGTTTAAGAAAACAGTGTTATAATTGGACACCAATGACAAGTTTGAAAAGTGATCATCGCTTAAGGCTAAAAGTCGATTTTTGAAAGTTGATCTCTTTGATTGCATTGAAAACAGTTCGTGGACCCTATTTGACATTTTGCACATTTGGTTGAGTGGAACGGATGGATTGATGCGGAAGAATTTGTCATTAATTTTGAAGAACTCGACACTTCTCAAGCTACGTTCATTTTGATTTCGGGCCATTTCAGTCTTCAGTGATGGGCAGTGAACATTATTTTGCATCAAGTCAAATATGAATAAAATTGATGCGTTTATATGGCGCCTTTGGAGTGATTGCATGTTTAGTTTGCCAAGGCGAGCGCTGTACGATGATATTTTGTAGTCATTCGAGATGTTTGGATACTCCTTGAGTGCAAACATTAAGAATTGACGAAGGCAAGATTCAGTTTTGTTCTTGTGAATGCCATGGTACGGTAGCCATACTAAACTGCCATACTCCAAGATTGATTGTACGAAGGCGCAGTATAATGACTTGAGAGTATTGACATCAGGAATATCGTAGCAGAATCTCTTTACGAATCCGAGCGCTGATGTTGCTTTGGCCACGATTGAATCGATGTGTTTGATGAAGTTGAGTTTGCTGTCAAAAATTACTCCCAAGTCTCTTTGTTCGCTTACTCTCTTAAAATTGTGACTGACATATGAGTAAAAGCACATGATTCTCTCTCTCCTTTTCGATATCGACATAACAGAGCAATTGTCGAGATTTAGGTAAAGTTTGTCTCTTAAAATCACCTAAGCGGTAGATATTTACAAGCCCGCGCCACCGTCCCCTGCCGAATTCTATGTTATTTATTGGTAGTGCAACTTAAAAATGTCGTATTTGTGCCAACTTCTTATGTATCATACGCGCCATTTTTTGACAGTGACAACAAGTGTATCTTAAAGAGCGTCAAAAAAACTATTAAATTCCATCTGTCATAGTGAATACAAGTTTATACACACACGTTTTTTATTGCGTTCAAAATGTCGAATTTCGTTCCAACAAAAGATAATTTGCGGGAAGTTTTAATTTGCTTCTTCCATTTGAAGAAAAATGCAACTGAAGCACATCGTTTACTCACTGAAGCCTATCCTGACTATGCTGTAGACGTTAGAATGTGTCAGCGTTGGTTTGCGCGCTTCAAAAGTGGTGATTTCGACACAGAAGACAAAGAACGTCCTGGGCAGCCAAAAAGTTGGAAGATGAAGAATTGGAGGTATTACTCGATCAAGATTCGTGTTAAACTCAAGAAGAACTTGCAAAATCATGGGGAGTGACTCACCAAGCTATTTGAAAACGTTTAAAAGCATAAGGATTCATTCAAAAGCAAGGAAATTGGGTACCACATGAATTGAAACCAAGAGACGTTGAAAGACGATTTTGCATGTCCGAAATGCTGCTTGAGCGCCACAAAAGGAAGTCGTTTTTGCATCGAATTGTTACTGGTGATGAAAAATGGTTTCATTACGAAAACCCGAAGCGTAAGAAATCGTATGGGAAGCGCGGTAAACGAGCAAAATCAACGCCCAAGCAAGATATTCATTGTGCTAAGGTATTTGTATTGCTCTGTATTTGGTGGGATCAGAAGGGTGTCCTCTATTATGAGCTGTTAAAACCGGGTGAAACGG